TTTAATAGCTCGGGACATTAAAATAATTGTAAAATTAATTGCATAGAAATATAGATAATAAGAAATATGATAAGTATTATATTAGAAATACAGAAAAAATATATTAAAAATTTATAAAAGATTTTGTTGTATATGATATTATGTATGAGTATTATTAATAGACCATATATATTACGACAGAATTTATTCAACATAAAAAGTTCTAGTTCAAAGCATTTTTAGCAAAGAATGATGTTCAGGTTCGATAATTCCAACTCGTAATAATGACACACACAGAACAGAAACACATTGAGACATTGTCTGTATAAGCGACTCGGTTTACTGCAAGATAATAAAAAACTTGCGCTAAAAAAGTGTCATTGACAACGCTTAGTTTCGAATTTTTATTATAAAACAGTTGAGGATTGAAGAATATATATATAATAAAATAGATATTTCTGATTCTCACACACAAGATACGATAGTACACCTGCTAATGTTTTCGCATAAAAATTACTTATATGAAAATATATTAACAAAAATGATTGCATATGAATGAAAATGGTAATGATGCAAGATAATGAATTTTGCGTAATCGTTATTTTTGGAAGATTTATCGCTATTTACAAAAAAAAATTATTGCTATTCCCAAAAAAATTATTTATTTTAAAAAATCACGGTTGAAAATTTAGGCATAGATAAGTTGTTATGAATTTGACTATTGATTTGAGTGATGAATATCGAATATTTGTCAAAATATTTAATTTAAAAAAATCTTACCATTTTCTCGAAATAATGAGGTCTAAGTAGAGTTAAACCTGTGCCTGATTTGATGTTGCCACGTGTAGAATTGGAAATTTCGAGATATCGCGAAAACTTTATTCGTATTGTCGTGCATATCAGCGAGGAACGAACAAGCGCAGTCTACCTCGCTGCTGTTACTACTGCGTACTATGCAAAGCACACTATGCAAAGCACACTTCTAAAGTAACCACAACGCATCCCGATAAGGTATTCATATTCATTCGTTTTCCATTTCCCACTTTTAAACGTGTTTACGTAAGCGGGATCTGCGCAATGTTGATCCCAAATTTGTAATACTTTGGCAAGTTCGCGTGCACTTGGATGCATCGAGAGTTATTTGTTTTCGTGCAAGCTCTTACGCATAAACTCTTCGACTTGCAAACAAATGCAACGTGATTTTTCGTTTCTGCTAACATGCAGATATAAAAATCCAGAATTATTATCATACACCAGCTTTAAATGCACGTTAAAAAATTTTAGGATTAAAAGAAAATTATCATTGATTTTTGAAAAAAAATGTTTCTGATGACTTTTACTAATAAATCTCTTTACAAGAGGCAAATTTCCTATCGCATATGATTCTGTGCTTCTTTAAACACAATGGAATATTCTCCTCTTTATCTATTTGAAGTTGATGCGAAAATGCGTTAGTAATCTTTTCTAACAACTTCAAACGACGAGTTCTGCCGGTAAGTTTCCTATGTTGTTCCCGCGAGGACGAAGGTCAGGAATAAGCGTGCACAACCGGAAAGTGCGTAGAGCATTTTTAGTTGACATTGGAAGAATGTCAGCATTTCCTTTTGTTAATGCGATTATCTGCGTATCGCTCATAAAGTTTAAATAAATTGATTGACGTAAATAGTACTACGGTGTTTACAGTGACTTACGAAAGGTATCCTACTGTTCAATAATATATTCCCACTGTTTAATTTATATTTACAAATGAAATTTGCATGCGTGAAACTCAAGAGGATCCATATTCTCATTATACATATTTAAACAGTGAGTGTGGGACTAGTGTCGAGTCGTTTAATATGAATCTACAGCTGGGAGACGAGAATATTGAGAGTCAAGATTGCGAGGAAATATTGTCATGATAAAATGAAAAATCGCGCACAAAGAATTATATGCTGCAGAATCGCAATAAATGTACAAATAAATAGAGCGGTAATTTTCTTTTTTTTGTGATACTATGAATTGTGCGGCTTACAATTAGTATGGGAAAACTCTTAGCCGTTGTAACACGAATTATTTTGATCAGTCGATATAAAATTAAATATATATCTACTGAGCAATATAAAATGTAATTAAATGTAACAGAATTCACATAATAACTAAAACGTGTGATTTCTAAAACGTGTAAGAATAATTCAAAACGTAGAATAAAGCGTTTTGTTTCTGAATATTTTAAATTTCTAGTCTTGGAACAAGATAAATATAAAATGAAAAAAATGCTCTTTACAAACGTACATCACACGTGGATATTTGTGTGTTTGTCATCGTAAGTCGCAAGGTGTTTTAGTATCTCGTCTACATATATGTTGACTAGAGTTATTGAAAAATGCAAAACACTTTATTATATGAATATGCGTGCTCTGCTCTATCCTGAGTTAGTTGAATATAAATTCGCTGCATCGCAAATTATTATTTTTTTTATTCCGTTTGTTCCTTTGCGCAGTAGCAAACCTGTCTAACGATAACGATTGCCATATGAGCTTTAATTAATTACTCAAGATGTCACGCATAAAGCGAGACGCAGTTGAAGAAGAATCATTCCCTTATGCAAGATTCCTTTTCTTATTGTGAGATGAAGTCTTGGAGTTCACGATTATGTCACCCAAATTGTCATATGAAAGAATCTTTTATATGTGCACTTTTTAATAGGTATATAAAATAATATATTATGATAATCACACATATTATCATCGCTAAATATGGCTGGTTTTTACGGGTCGCGCATTTTCTTTTGGCTGTCTGTTCTTGAGCTAATCCAGTATTTTGCTCAGTGAATTATCGATGGAATTTCGTCTATTTTAGAAAATTCTCAATTTTTTAATAATAAATATCTTGATAATACAATTTTAATTTTGCGAATAAATGAAGCTGTGAAACTGGAATTCTTTTGCGTGAAGCTTAATTGCTTTTAATATTGGATCTGCAGAGTGCACCAGGACAGACAGCTAATTCCAGGACGGTTTAACCGTTGATATAAATTTGCATTTGCATAGCATTGCGCGTCTGCATGCCTTGCAGTTCGCACATTATCTAATGTTTACTTATTTGAAGGCGCGACGCGCTGTCTTTTGAAGGCTCGTGTCCGTCTTTTCTCTCATCTTTATCTACGAAGTTCGAGCAATGTCGATGTCACGTCGTTATCAAGGCGGCGGTAGTCGTGAACTTGACCCGTGCCGTTTCGTTCGCGTCTCCCCGGCATGACGTGGGGATCTGGCCGCGAGCTTACGAATGCTCGCACGTGCATTGATTGCGCTCGCACGCGTCGCTCGCGAGCCCGCTCGTGCAATCGGGCACCGCGCCGTTCTACGGTCGTCCGTACGTACGAGCTCTTTTTCCCTCGATGATCCCCTCGTCGTTATATATCACGGCCGAATCACGATTGATCGGGGTTAACTGACGAGACAGTTGACATTGTTAACGACCGAGGAAAAGTACCTGCCAAAGCTTTCGCCAGGATTGCATTATTATGGCGTGAAAATGCCGAAGAAAGAAATGCACTTGTGCAAGAAGGTTTTTTTAAAGAAGACTTTAAAGAGGAAAATTTTGATATCCTCCCCTCTTCTTCTCGAGAAACGGAGTGAGAAATGCGATCTTACCAGCAATTCCTGATCTTAAGGAAATATTGAGGAAATAAATATTGTTGGTAACTGGGTTTAATGATGAGATCTGTCGAAATTTTTTGAAATGATTGCATAGCGATTCATCTTCTATCATTGTGCAATAGCAATTACTCATCACGATGTCGCGGTCTGTGCAGATTTTTGTAATTCAAGTTAGAACGTTTTTCGCTTAATTTGGAAGTGAGAATCATCGGTACTCTTCCAGAAATGTTCTTACGCAATAATTTACGCAATTGATTTCGTAGTTTTCACTTGGGCGTGAATGACAGAGAAGACTTTTCCGCGAAAATTAGGGCAATTTGCCCGTTCGCACTTGGTCGATACTGCGACGAATCGGGAAAACAAAGACGATAAGTTTTGCCTCTAGGAAGAGCCACACACATGACGCAAGACGGGCTAATTATTAACACGACCAACGGGCTAAGTTGTTAACACGACCAAAATGTGGAGTGTTCTTCGGTCAAAGAATCCAAGTTTCCGGAGTGTTCAAGAGCAACGGTTAATTATAAAATTATATTGTCTAATTTTATTAAATACGCTATATTTACAGGTGCTTTTTTGCTTTATTAAAATTCTACGTGATATCTTCTCAAAATGGTAAAATCAAATTTATCGTTCTTGACGATAGCGACTTGAGCACGTAACGTCTTCCGGCGTTCATTTGTTTTCTTGTGGCGAACACTTCGATAAAGCCGTATAACAAGGCGTCTAAAAATAAAGTTTTCTACGCTTCTCGTTAATCGATTGTTCCATAATTAGACCAAGTGCGATCCTATCACCTCAAAGGCCAATCCGGCTCGATGAGCCCAATAATAGCACACGGCAATTAATCTGAGCAAGGAGCCTCGGCTTGGCGTTTTTCTCGAATACTCGATTGATTAATACACGTCATTAATGCATACGATTGCTACATCGATAAGTATCGGCCATTCCGTGATGCATATTCCCGTACGTATTTGCGAACAGCAACGAGCACGGCTCATCATTCACATCGTACGATAACTTATCCCGGGGAGGCGGCTCTCGATTTATTTCAACCTCGCGATTCTATTTGCGGCTATGCGGAATTCATGCAATGTTCGTCCACGACGGAACATCCGTCATCATCGTGAAAACGCTATCAGCTTTTTTTACACGTTGAACGAGAGCGCAAGGATGAGTCCGCCAATACGATTGTTATATATACAGAAGTTCGCATCAGGGTGAGCGCGTTTCTTGATGAACTTGAGGATATGTTTCTAGTGATAACGCGACTACTGCTCTTCCCGCAACAGGAAAAGGAGTTTGATAATTAATTGACACATTACAAACCACGTAAATAGCATATCTATCCCGTGATATGGACGGTCGCGTTAAAATTTCCGCGCGACGCATTCGCAGTTTAATTCGACATATTGCGACCGTTTGACCGTCAACCCATCGATAATGATATATCGTGCGGATTAAAGAAACCATGCGATGCTTACAACGAGCGCTTGATGAACGGAATCGTACAAGGATGTTATATCGCGAGCTGCCTTTTATGTGATTAATGCACGTTAACCTTATATGTTAATGCGCATAGATATAGATGAATTACGCTGAATCTTATTGATCAGGAATTACCAAATCTCCAAGAATTTCTTCTATTAGAACTTCTTTTAAAGATTTATTAGATATTTTTTTTAAGTTAGATTATTTGTTATTGTTGACACTCTAACATTAATATAGTAATTAGAATTTTATGTTTGAGAGGCTGCTTATTTTAATAATTTATGACATTTTATCTTTTATTACAAAAAATAGATTAATTGCATTTATCGATGTTTGATAATTTTGTTGATGATATCTAATAGATAATATATCGATAATAATATTTAATAATCAATATCGGTGCAAATCGATATCATCCGGCGTTAGTCGCACCGTTCTTAGATGATAATTCTAGGATATTTTACGTAACTTGATAACGTAATTGTATTAATTAAATGTCTGAATGTTTTGAATTAAAAAATGTTTTAAATTAAATGTTAATCTATTTTTGTAGAAAGCATTTTGTTTAATTATAAAAGATAGTCAAGAGGAAATATCGATATGTTCGGTAGAAAAAATTTCACTTTTAACTACAATACCGCATTGAATTTAGCATTTCCAATTGTTTATCATGATGAATTGACTACAATTGTTTAATGCTAACGTAACGTCCGTGAATATATTTTAATGGAATATGAGTGCACACGAAATGATTTTCGTTTTCTTCGCGACCTGTAATTTGGACTTTTCCTCTAGCACCGTCGTATATAGCACAACGAGATTATTACAAAGTATAAAAAATATTTATAAATAAAAACTACAGAAGAGAGCTTGTTAGTATGTGAATATATCATACGATGGCTTTCTTGAGATTTATTATATGTATATTAATATATTTATATAAATTCGAAAGTGTCGCGCACAAAAGTTAAAGGGCCAAAGTGATCGTTGAAATGAAACGTTCTGCGTATGCAACCTGATGATTTAATCAAAATATATTGCCGGTCGTTACGTCAGTCCTAATATGATTGAAGTAAATTCATCATGACGCAACGCGTTACTTACACGCTGGCAACAATGTTATAAGATTCAATAATGCTGATAAGCTTGGAAAATTCCAAGAGATCCATTATCCGACGCAATAGGATGAAGAATACAGGATGTATATAGCTATTAACTACAATGTAATCGTTTAAGTAGTGCATCATTGTGCGATATTCCAGGAACGTATACTTACAGATTCGACTTGTACTTCGTGAAAGTCTATTCAGAGATATATAAAAAGGGATTGCCCCACTCCATGTTTTCAGGATTTCAATATCAAGCTTCAGGAGCTACTTCTTTGGGCAAACTCATAAATTAATAACGTATTTTTTTTTACTTTACATTGTTACTTATCTATTTGTGTCATTTGAAAATTTATATTAGATGAAATTTTATTAGATTATTTTTTATAAAAAAATTAGATAATTCCGGCCATCAACAAACACCTTCAGCAGTAGCATATTAATGAATAATGGCTGCTCCCGAAATTTTTTGTAAGCGAGAAAAACCTTTCACCCTCCAATATATATATATTTGATATTTAAGATTTTTATCTGAAAATCTAATTTGAAAATCTCGACAATCTTCACACCTTCAATGTGCGTGCGGCCCTGAGATCGAACAATTACATATGTGTGTGCTTATCGCGTCAATCGTTCTCGTCGCCGGCGCCTTCGTCGCCACGATTAATTGGCCCAATGGTTTGCTTGGGTCTGGGGGCGCGTCCAGCATGTTGCACCGATCCCCCGGAGGGGGTCAACAAGAAGTTTGCACCCATCGCGACTCTTTGTTTCTCTCTCTCTTTTTCTCTCTCTCTTTCAGTCTCGCAACCTTTCTAGAATGATCGTCGTGAATTAATCGACGAAGCGTCAGCAGACGCCGAGATAACGACGGAAATTTCTTTCTTGTCAATCGAGTCAACCTTGATTGAGTTGTATCGGTGCCAACAAATCGGCGAGCGCACTAACTCGAGAGGATAAATCTATATAAAGTTAAGGGCAGGCGTGGTTTTCTTTCTGTTTTTTTTTCTTAAGAAACTCGTGCATTGAAAAAGATTTTTTATTTCTTATGCAGATATTTATCATAAAAACTTAGAAAGGGTTGGAAGAGGCTAATATTCACTCTGATGTAAAGAACGAATTGGAGCAACTTTGTGATATCATTACTTTTTTTCGAAAAGATAGATTTGAGCAATAATTTTGTAGTATCTTTCACGTTAATATTTTTTGTTTAAAATTATTATATACTTTCAAATATTTTTAAATGTATTTTTAGCAAAACATTTTTTAAAAAGGCGTTGTTTAAAAGTGAAATTTATAAGAAGGAGAAAAACAGACTATGAGTCCGTCGAGCACTCGCAGTATTCACAATGCATCCTTATGTATATGCAACTTTATTGTGTTATGTTTTGTTGTACTCTTATCCGGAACTACGCCGATTGACGTTCTTCTATACATTCGCGGCATATCAAATTGTTAGCAATCATGCGTGGTAATTATGTTGTTAGACACGTTAGATATAACCTATGAAATTTTACCAGATATGCTATACAATCGTACTGACACATGCAACATCGGACAACACTCGATATCGCTTCGTGTCGAGGTATGACGAGATCCCTTGGTTGGGATGATCGCGTACTTTTTATTATCGGGATAATCTGGGGAGAAAATTAGATAAACATACAAACACAACTGCTTCTGTTTGACCAACTGTTTTATCTCTTAACTATGTTGAATCCTAATATTTGTCAACTTCGTGACACTTTTTTCCAGCTTTTCGTCGTAGCAGATGATTTGCTTAGCAAGTTTTTATGTTGAATTTTCATTATCATGAGTATATAATGATAAAATATTGTACAATATTGTATGATATGATATGAGATGATAAAACTCTTATGAGCATTGACGCATTTTTTCCATTACGTTGTTATCTAGTTATCTAGTTTAAGCTGTTACTCAGAATTTTATATTATGATGGCATTTTATCTTTTAAAAACATTTTAGAAAATTTTGATAGCGCTGGTCACCAGTGACCACCCGAGCGCCATTGAAAAGTCAGAAGGTCACGGATGATCATTATGGCAGTCGATGTGTTAAATAGATATTTAAATAGTGTGCAAAAAAACAAATATTTGATTAAAATTATTATATTAAACATTTTAAATATGTGTATTCATACACACACACACACACACACACACATATATATATATATATATCGTTACTTAAATCTAACTTATAAATGTGCTGCGTTATATGTATGAATTCGTGGCCTTAGTCTGTTATAAGCACGAAATTAAATTTTAGCGTATCTCACTGAATCTGTTGGCATCTGTTGGCAACAGATCACTAAAATGAATCACTCTGTCAAGGTAAAATGATATATTTTATACACATGCAAGTCCAAAGCTGAACAATTTGTTCATCTTGGACTCAGCATGAATTTAATGCTCCTATTTAATGATTTAACAATTATTTATGCAAACATATGCGAAGATAATTAAAAGCTTTTCCTGAGACAATATTTTATGGATTTATATATTCACTAAATGAATTTATGAGAGAGAGAGAGAGAGAGAGAGAGTGAGAGAGAGATTGCAGAAACTTATAGAAAGTTATACAAAGGAAGCTATGATATGAATTCAGAAGGTTACCTATCTATAAATCTGAAAATTCTGTAAACTGTCAATTAACATAATTCGAATGTAATATTAGGCAAATAGTCGTTTATAATAATTATATGACTTTTTACAGCAATTGTTATAAGCGTAAAGATATATTTATTTATGTGATATATTTATTTGCTACGATTGACATTGCTTATTAATTGACATGTTGGAATTTAATTTTGTTAATCGTAAAATTATCGAACGTTTATGTGTATTTTTCCATTCATATTATGTGGAATGCAAACAACGCAGCATTTGTTACGTGCGTCGTACGAATTATCGACGTTTCACACACTCTGCGCTTTATCGACTGTTTGTTTATACATTATCGTACATTATATTTATCGTCGGAAAGTAGATAGAAGTAGAAATAAATTCGTGATTCGTTTGTTCTATTATTAGACATTAATGTTCGAGTCTACGTGTTTTTATCATGTTTATACGAACAATTTGCTTTCAAGCAGCCACGTTTTATGGGTATTGAGTCACGTTTAGCCACGTAGTAAGACAGTAGATCGTGCGAAGACCGCAGATCACCTTGCATGTTTGTCTCCTCAGCGCCATCGTGATACGCGCCGTCTCTTTAATTCTAAAGATTTCGATGGGAAACAGGAGAAAAAAAGTGTCTCGTGTATGTTCTTCAGTATTCTTCCGTTCATCATGGAATGTCTGGCTTGCGTGCGATTATGCTGCGTTTCTGCTGAACGAGCACGTTTACGTTTCACGGAAACGATTTTGATAAGGGATGAACGTGACACCACGCGAAAACCGCACGTAGACGTAATACATAGCGGCAAATCATGAAGATCAGCACGTAATTATCCGTCGAATACAAAAAAATTACTATTCGTATTTGTACGGTTTTATTCCTTTATTATGCTTGAACGGAATTTTTAAGAAATGGAAAAAAACGAATCCAAAGAAAATATCGAAAATGAGTATATATGTAATAAGAATAATTTTTTTTTCTGAAGTCCCAAAGGTTTTCTGTGTGATGGTATATATATTGTATTTAATACAATATGATTTATTTTCTTCTATAAACAAAGAAAATTACTGGAACGTTTTGAACTACAAAAAGTCTTTATCAGCCATAGAACAAATTAATTAATAATAATAACAGAGAAAAGAGTTAGGATAAGTGAAGTAAATAAACAATGAATACATAGATAAATTAATATATTATAACTAAATAAAAAATAGAAATTAAGTGAACTACACGAATTGCAAGTATAATTCGATCATATTTTATTGGTTACAATAATATTCTTATCGCTCGTTTATTGGCCCTTTCGCGCGACATAAAGTAAAACTTTTCTACGATTGCATCAACTACGCAGAATTTGAATGTGACGCAAATGATAACACAGTTAAATAACCTTATCATCGGAATTCGAATGGCGAACAAAGCGCGTTTATTATGTTTGACAATTAAGCCTTTAATCACGTTAATAGCAGCGTCTGTCCTTTTGCGCGAATTATTTTTCAATGAATCTAAAATCTTATACTTAAATTGTCATTTTTCAATTGTTGCCTCGGCACGCGAGATCGCGACATATCATTTACACGTGCGACTGATTTTAGCGAAGACTTTTTATCACCTCTTAATATCTCGTTAATATTTAACCACGTTCGAACTTCGAACGTCGCGTGCGTCATTGTAACCATCATTTTCGAAATATTTTATGCCACTCTCTCTTAAGCATAAATTGAAGTACAAAGATCAATTTAGTTTGTTTAGCATAATTCGCTAATCACAATACGTCGAACAGAAAATTAATCCTTAACTTTTCTACATTTTGTACACCTATGTAGTGTATTTGCGCGCAAAAATTTATTTCTAAAATTAGATAAAATTAATGTGCAAAGTAAGAATTTTTTTTATAATTAAAAATATAGAAGAGCTTTATTTATTTTTAATTTATTTCTTTAACAATCACTCTTTAAACATATATTACTTGTGATTATAATAACCGAATTGTAGTAGCATTAGTAGTCCAGATTTCGAATTTCGATATCTCAATATATTTCAACTGTCTCTCACGTTAATCACCAAGATATCGAATATAAAGATTTAAAATTATAAAAAATGACGATCTGCATTAATATTTTTATTAAGAAAAAATTTACTCCAAATTTGCCGGCTACGATTTACACTTCCCGTCCTGTGACATCCACACAAATAATGATATTTATCGACGCTTATTTTTTAATTTCCAGATGCCTGCTTACGGTGCCAGGCAGAAAGTAAGAAGGAGGTTTACGGCCGGCAAGACTGCGTGGTCGTTTGGGGCGAGTGCAACCACTCGTTCCATTACTGCTGCATGTCACTTTGGGTCAAACAGAACAATCGTTGCCCATTGTGCCAGCAGGAGTGGTCTATCCAACGAATGGGAAAGTAATCCTTACGTACGCCAGCCACTAATTTGACCGCAGCCTCTAATTTTTTTTTCGCGACTATGCAACCGTATTGCAATCCTATGCAATCGTAATTAATTACGATGGATTCACGCTACCGAGAAGTTGCACGTTGTAACGCCTAGCTGCATTAACTAGTGTTGAATTTATTTTTTTTCTGGAAATCTTCGCAAGTGATAATCAAAGTCATCTGATACCTTAGGCAAGGATTATTTTATTGTAACATATAATAATGTTTAATAAATACTTGTATATAAAATACGTGATTGCCATTCGAAACTTGCACATTATAAAATTATTGCCTCTCTTTCTTGTAAACTTTGTATAAAAGTTATTTTCTTTTTATCACTATAATGTATATATTTGAATATGACTGTTTTTGTCGAATAATAACTGTTTTTTTTATTGCACAGAATTTATTATTTCATTTATGTATTAGTGAGTTGATAAACCCAAATCTTGTCTCTTTATAAAATATGAAATTTTGATTTTAATAGTTATTTAACGTAACTTTAAATTTCAAACGATATAAATCCCAAGTTAACTTAATTTTTAGATACCTGAGTTAAGTTTAAATTAATGAAAGTAATATTTCACAGAACCCTTTTCCAGATTTTCATGTCGGACTTTATAGAATCTATCTATTTTTTTTTCTTTTTATGTTATTAATCATGATATATATCGTGATATAACACTTTGAAATATATAGATATTAAAAATATAAGCAGTATAAGCATTGAAAAATAAGAAAATGATACCTACATTATTAACAAAAACTAAATTACTATAGTGTTATATATGTTTGTATGTATATATGTTTATGTGAAATAACTGTAGAACAATTAATCAACCTAATGATTTTATCTTATTTTGATTTAATGAATTCAAATACATTATAATTTAATTTTGTGAACATTTCATAACAATTAAATTCTATAAAAAGAATAATTGTCATTTACGCACAATTGTTTTCATATGTCTGATCGTGAGACATATGATGCTTATCTCACTCAGGAAATATTTGAAAGTAAAATTATAATGACGAAACATATCAAAGATCGTCTCAAAGATAATATCTCTTTGTATCGAAGTGCAAAGTATCTCCGTCGCGTGGACTTGGTTTCAAGTGAACTCACTCTGAAATCATTGTTGTCAAACATTACATAAGAGATTATTTTATCTTGCGTAGACGCTGCAGAAAAGATAAATAGTGAACTATTAAGGTCGGTGCTGATCACAGCATAAAATTATTATATATAAATGCGCGATTAGATTTGAATTTCTATATGAGAATCAAGATCTCACTAAAAAGTTGGTTAATTTGTGTGAGTTTATAATAATTTAACCAATTCTTCGTCTCCTATTCCAGAACGAGAATTATAAAGAGGGAAAATAGTAATTGAATTTCGACTAAAAATCTATCATTTTGGATAAAGTAATCGCTGAGTAATAAAAATCATACAAGGAAGAAAAACGCCATTTTTGCGTTGCCCGCGCACGTAATGGCTTTGAAATATTTAGGTTGATCGATATCGTGTGCGCTGCATCGCGCGATTTAAGCAATTGCGATGACATTGCCTAAATTCTGCACAATCATGATATCCTATTTTGCATGTTTTGATGTAAAGGCGACATATTTCCCGATACGTCAAATGTAAAAATCTCATTTCGAAAGATCCCGAATAGTGATCAAATTTTGAAAAGTGGTATATTTCGCAGGCATGATAGGATTTATCACTGCTTTTTTCTTTTTAACTTTTCTTCGAAGCTTTTAATCTTTTTTACACATTGAAGGAAAGCCAAGCAGTAATCAGCATATCAAAAACCTTGAAGAAACGATAAAAAGAAAAATATTCACTGCATTTTGCATTCATGTAATAAGATAGTAACTAAAAAATATGAAGCGAGTATCTAGATAGTGACTAGCGCATTATATATTTTACGCAAGTTTTTTTAGCGATAACAATACATCTTGAAAAGTAATTAAGAAATAAGTTCAGAAGTTAGAAGATATCTGACTGATGCCATTCCTAAATTACTCAAGACAGCCCATAGCATCACGCGAAATCGCTGCGAGTCGTAAAGATATACATTCACGCGTATTGCGTTAATTAAATTAATCATGTCAAATGCTACGTGCGATCGTAAATTTGCGGTTTTATTCGTAGGGCGCGGGATAAAATATTAAACGTTTATTACCGCGCGTATGAGACATAGATATCTCTTTAATGACACAATCTATCGGCGATTTTGTTTGGTAATAAAAATTTATGGTTCAGGCGACGAAGTGGCTGTGCGTTGATGTCTCTTGATAGAAAGCGACGGGGTCAACGAGCTAGAAGTAACATTCCGACCTTTCTTTCCATTCCAATTCCGAATGTAGAATCGATTCTTCGACTCGCAATTGCTTGTACAGATTCTTTACGACGCGACGCGTAGATTTATATAGCTGCGCGAATCGATATATGAGATATTGTCATAGAAGCTTTACGCGCTTACCTCGATATAATTAATAACATTTATATAATTATACAGTTATATAATTAAGAATATTTATATTCCGTAATTTATCCTAAAATTTTTGGATGAGTAAGATACATCATTTAAATGCCAGTTTAAATACCAGGATTCTCACAAATCAGTTATTTAAATACTAAAATCCTATTTTGAAAAGGAGAAGAAAATAAGAAATTAATTTGTTCGGATAACAATTAATACGTAACTTAAATAATAATATGTCATAAATAATAATGTTATTCTTTATAACAGTTTTCATTTTCGTAATACGCAAGATGTAAAATCAGACGACTTGATTTGTGACGACCCTTTTTTCTAAAACGCCCTCGAACGGTGTGTGTCCGCGGTTTTTTAAATTTATTCCAGTTTTCTTTTTACCTAGATAAAAATTTATTTCACCATTTATCTCGGTGCTTATCTTCGTTCCATTCATAATTCTACACACAGAAAAAAAGTGTCAAATCAACACTTCATATGCTTGTATATACGTAAGAATATATAATCTTGAAATAAGATTATATTGCGTTGGTTCAACTATATAATTCTTCGTTTAACGCAAATATAATCTTATTTCAAGATTATATATTCTTGCGTATATACAAGCATATCGAGTGTTGATTTGACACTTTTTTTCTGTGTAATTTTATTTTTTTGAAAGCAAACGAATAAAAAGAGAAACGTCTTCCTCCACTAATTGTAACCATATGGAAGAATATGATTTTCCATAGAAAATCGTATCCTGAAGATTTTCTTAGGTGTGAGAGGTGTGCTTTGCACACTTTCAAAATCAAACGCAATTTTTCGTATGCAATATGATCTGAATTTGCAAGATCACGAGATAACTTCGTCTCAGATTTCGCGACAGCTGAGGCATGGAGAAACATATATTTCGTGCGATATAACACGACGCGAACATCCATGTACGACGGCGATGACGTGTTCGTTCTGTCACGGAGTCCGAAATTCCACAAGAAATGCCGAGACCGGGAGTCAGGCACGCGAGACTTCGCCTTCCAAGAATTTCTCGGCCTAACTCTAACCGGTCATATTACAGCTTCGAAGAAACGATAATAATAAGTATAATGACGACGTAGCCGTTCGTACTGGCGCCGTCCGTTTCGCCTTTCTACGGCACGATTGGTCGAGCCTCCGGACGAGCCTCCACGTGACGCCACGTGACGACACGTGACACGTGACATGACGCGAGCGAAACGGAGAACGAGTAGCGAATACAGAGCGAATATGATGATGCGATGACCTTCGGACGATACCTCGCAAATAGCGTAACGTGCAGTGTAGCTCGCACGAGCGCGCTGATTAGCGTTACACGATACATCGATAATTTTTGTGCTAATGAGTCAAATTTATGCTTACTTATTCAGAAGTACGTGCAAGTACACTCGGAAGAGGCAATTGCCTATAAATGGCGATTTTCAAAAATGACTAACTTCGAACTGGCTAGTGTTCTCGATTTTCAACTAAATTATTTTATGAGTAAACAATCAAATTTTTATTACTTTATTTCTTTCAAGAAAGGCGGCATATGTACCTTTGTATAAGAAGAGATTGTCAATTGAATTAATTTCAATTCTCGATAAATGTTCAGAAATTAAGTTTAAGGCTAAGCTTATAGTCAAAAAATTATATATAACTCAATATCGAGTTTTATATATAGCTTTTGTTTTCTTAAAACGCATAAATTTGTTTTATATCAGAATTGTAAACTATTTCAGAATATTTTGTCGATTTTACATTCAAAAGTTATACGAGTGGAATATTTTTATAAATATGTATTAATTTTTTATGTTCTCAAGATACATACATATGCCACCTGCATTGAAAATTCATAATTTTGCTCAAGAATAAATAAATAATATATTGAAATAATATACGTTGCATTTTAAAGTTCAAGTCTTGAACTATAGAAAAAAAATTGGAAATTTTTTTTTAGCACCATATAAATCTATCTTATTGTATGTCTTCTCATTGCCTCATTGTATGTCTCTTTATTGCCTGATAAAGGAATTTTTTTTATTAAGGATATTGAAACACAAATGAAGTCGTTTGAAAAAAAACGACTCCCGGGCGAAGCCCGGGTAACTAGCTAGTATTTTGATATATTGTATTAATCATTAATTAAAATATACAAAATTTAACCTATTAATTATAATAAATAACCTTTGAATATAGCCTAAAATTGAAGACATAAATTCCAATCAATAAAATACTACGATATTATTTTGGGAGAATGTATTTAAAAGAAAAAGATATAAATATATAATTAATTTGTATGAGAATTTGAATTTATATCGAGAAGACATACCTGCGACTAATCTAGAATAATTCAGAATTTGTATTTGGGACTGTTCTGAGGACTAGAGAAACACTCGTTTATTTTGTCAAAATAAATATATAATCGAGTTAAGACTCTACATTAGCTGAACATAAACCTACACTTACTTTTTAATGAAATAATGAATATATATAATTAAATAATATACATGAAACATCGTGTGCAAGTTACCCGTGAGCAGTAGCAAAGAACCAGCGGCGCGATTCCGTTCCAATGTGAGCGACTAGTTTGCGATTTCCGCGATACAGTGGCGCGTGACTGCAAAAGTCGAATGCGCGATTACGCTACTTATATATTTTTTTACGAAAATCGCCGTTCTTTTTGTTCGCCACGGCTAAGAGATTAGTCTGGACGGGGGAGGTATCGATTCACTCTTACATAAAATCTCCCA